TGACCTGAAGGGGGGCTCAAACTGCAAGCAACTGCCAGATATCACAGAAGGCTAACACTCTGAGAGAAACTCATCTTTTGGTCAGATGAACCAGCAAATATATGTGGGAAGAAGGAGGAGGGAATTCTGGAGACGAGAGAGTTGGAAAAAGAGAACTACCTAATTCTGTATATGATCTGACATAAGTCCCAGGTAACCCTGAGTTGTCCACATACACAGAAGAGCCAAAGAAGCATCACAAAGGCTTAGAGAAGTGAACAATGATATTAACTACTGCTCAAATACCGGAATAATGCAAGCAGTAGATATATTACGCAGACTCAAGCACCAGAGTAAAAGTACTGAATATCAATCATATTGATGTTGCAAACACCATCCACAGAACTTACAATCTAAATCTAATTAGGTTAAGTGCTTCTAAAAACAAGAACCAACATTCTCCACGGGATTTTAATAGGACCAAAAATCCACAACACAATATTCAAAATGCTAAAGATACAACCCAGAATTACTCAACCTGCAAAGAACCAAGAAAATCTGACCAATTCTCCACGATGACCCAGATGTTGAAATTATAAGACAAAGACTTTGAAGCTGCTTTTAAAACCATCCTCTCTCAATTTAACATGAACACTAGTCAAATGAAAGGGAAGCCTGAAATTCTTAGCAGAGAAACAAAAACTATAAAAGATAAACAAATGGAAATTTTATAAGAGAAAATTACAATATCTGAAGTAAGAAATTCACTGGATGAGCTCAGTAACAAATTGGATATTGCAAAGAAAAGAGTAAGTAAGGTTGAAACTTGTTATGTGCCGTCGAGTCAAACCCGATTCATAGCAACCCCTCCTTGGGTTTCCGAGGCAGTATCACTACAGAAGTAGGATTGCCCAACCTTCCTTCTGAGGAGTGGCTGGTGGGTTTGAACCGCCAGCCATCTGGTTAGCAGGCAAGTGTCTTAACCATTATGCTACCAGAGCTCCCAAGGTTGAAACTAGATCAATAGAAATTATATAGTCTGAAGAACTGAGAGAAAAATATTGAAAAATAATTAGCAGAGTCACAGAGACCTGGAAGACAGTATCTAAAGGTCTAATATCCATCTCACTGAAATTCCACAAGGAGAGAACAGTTTGGTGCAAAAAAAAATATCTGAAGAACTAATGGCTGAAATCTTCCCAAATTTGGTGAAAGATACAAACTTACAAATTTAAAAAACTCAATAAACCCCAAATAAGAAAAATAGAAAATTATGTCCAAACATATCATAATCAAATTTCTAAAAACCAAAAATAAAAATTAGAAAGCAAACAGAAAAATGACATACATCGTATGAGAAGTAGTGATTCAAATGACTGGGGATTTTTCATTTGAAACCACGAAAGCCACAGAACAGTAGAACATCTTTCAAATGTCAAAAGAAAAGAACTATCCACTCAGAATTTTATATTCAGTGAAAATATCCTTTACAATTCCACCTCACAGTGACCCTATAGAACACAAAGTAGAACTGCCCCCATAGGGTTTAAGGCTATAATATTTCACAAAAGCAAACTGACACACCTTTTACCCCACAAAGTGGCTAATAGGTTTGAACTTCCAACCCATAGGTTAACAGTCAAGCACTTTAACCGCAGCATCATCAGGCTACCTTAGTGGGAGTGAAAGAGTATCCTAGTGGTGGTGGTTGTTGTTATGTGCTGTCGAGTCAGACCCAACTCATAGCGACCACTCCTTGGGTTTCCGAGGTGGTATCACTATGGAATTAGATAGCCCAACTTCCTTCCGAGAAGTGGCTGGTGGGTTTGAACCTCCAGCCTTCTGGTTAGCAGTCAAGTGCCTTAGGCACTATGCTACCAGAGTGGGAGTGAAGGTATAAGATGAAGAAAAACTAAGAGAATTTTCATCAACAGACTTCTGCTAAAAGAAGTAATGAAGGAAATTCTTCAGGCTTAAGAGAAATGATACTACAGGGAAACTTGGAAATTTAGGAATGAACGAAAAGCCACAGAAATTAGAAATATGTTTTCTTATTAATTTCTTTAAGTAGGTATGACTATGGAAAGCAAAAATTGTAAAATTTTATAGGGGGTTGAATATGTGTAGATGTAAAATACATGACTCTATAAAATAAAGGGAGGAGGGTAAAGGGACTTATATGACCATTAAGGCCTCTGTGTTTTACCTGAAGTGGTAAATTAATAACTCTAACTATTTAGACTGCAAAATTTAGGTGTGCAAATTATAGTCCCCAGAACCACTACTAAAAAAAAGTAAAAGAAAAGACAGGAAAGGGGAAACAGAGGGACAAAAGCAGAGGGGAAAATAGAAAGCAAATAATGAAATGATAGGCCTGAATCCAATTATTTCCATAATTACATTAAATTGGTCTCAAAATACCAATTAAAATACACAAATCGAAAACCAAAAGCCCACTGCCATCAAGTTGATTCCAACCTCATGTGTTAAAAGTAGAACCAAACTCTGTAGGGTTTTCTTGGCTATAATCTTTGTCAAGTCTTTCTTCTACAGTACTGCTGGGTGGGTTGGAAGTGGCAATCTTTTAGTTATAGACAATCACAAACTATTTGCAATCATCTAGATAGTCAGATTAAATTTAAAAAAAAAAAAAAAAAAAGACCCAGCTATATGCTGTCTAAAAATATCTACTTTACAGAAAGGTTACAAGCTCCCAGGTTATAAGTAAAAGGATGGAATAAAAGATATGCCAGGATAACAAGAATCAAAAGAAAACTACACTAACTATACTAGACAAAGTAGTCTTCAGAACAAGAAAAATTATCAGCAATATGGAGAAACTCACTGCCATTAAGTTGATTCTGACTCACAGCAACTCTATAAGACAGAGTAGAACTGCCCCATAGGGTTTCCAAGGTGGCCAATCATTACAAAAGCAGACTGCCTAGTCTTTCTCCCAAGGGGCAGCTGCTGAGCTCAAACAGACAACCTCTTAGTTAGCAGTTAAATACTTTAACCACTCCTTGCAATAAGGAGGGACATTATATAATAATAGAAGTGTCAATACCTCAACATCAAATCTAACAACAAACTACCAAAACTACTCACAATCAAGAAAAATAAACTAAATATCCTATATTTGTAATAGAAATTGAATTTGTGGTTAAAAACAAGTGGATCCTAAAATTCATATGAGGAAACAAATAAGAATAACATAAACAATTATGAAAAAGAAGATTAAAGTTAGAAGACTCACACTACCTGATTTCAAGACTTATTATAAAGCTATAATAATCAATACAGGGTGATAAATGTGAAAGAATACTGAGATGGTTAATTTTCTGTGTCAATTTGCCTAGGCTATGGTTCCCAGTGATTTGGTCAAACACTAGTCTAGTTGTCATGGATTAATTACATGTGATTAAATCAGTTGGTCTTGGGTAGAGAAGATTGTCTTTTGTAATGTAAGACAATCACCTTCCATAACAAAATCTAGCATAATATTATAAATCAATTAACTGAGGTCATACCGTCAGGATCTTAAGCCTAATTACTTCCAAATAATAAGGCAAGAAAAGGCACACACGCACACACATACACACAGGGTAAATCAGAAAAATGAGAGGGCTGTCTGTAAGCAAAGGCAGGTCAAGAATCACTGGCCGACACCAGAAACTAGGAGAAAGCCTTGCAAAGGAATTCACACATCTAAGACCTTGATTTGGCTTCCAGTACTGTGGGAAAATAAATGTCTATTCATTAAAGCCAAACACTTCTGGTATTTCTGTTACAGCAGCACTAGGTAACAAGACAAACACATACAGATCAATGGAATAGAATGGAGTCCAGAAATAGATCCACAAAAATATGGTCAACTGATTTTGGACAAAAGTGCAAAGACAATTCAATGGTAAAAGAATAGTCTTTTCCACAAAGTGTGCTGCAACAACTGGCATTCGGATGCAAAAAAATGAACCTTAACCCATAATTTACACCACAGACAAAAGTAACTCAAAATGAATCATAAAACCAAATCAAACACATTGCTGTTGAATCATTCCAGCACACATACCACAGTGCTATATGCCACATCTATGTCTTTACCCAGGAGCTCTGGTGGTGTAGGGCCTAAGGCCATTTGCCTGTTTACCAGAAGGCTGGCAGTGCTAACCCACTAGCCACTCCTTGGAAGGAAGGTTGGGCCATCTACTTCCCTAGAGTTTTGATTTTTTTTTTTTTTTTCTTTTGTATGTCTTTACCCAGTAAGTTCCCTTGGCCTACAACAGCTCTTCTTAATCTGGCTAATTACTAACCCACCTTCAAGCCACTAATCAGGAGGACCCTAGTAAACTCTCAAGACCAAGTACGTTGAAATAAGAGTCCCTCTGAGTTCCTAAACCACCCTGAACAAATATTAGTCTCTAGACTTTCCACATTACATTTAAGTTATTTATGTGTATTTCTTGGCCTGTAGGTTTCTAAAGGGTGGCTAACTTATCCTGTCCATCTTTTTCCTGCATCTAGCACAGAGATCATGTTCAATAAAGACCCTCATGAACTAAACTACCAACTTTTTATTACAAAACGATCCCTTTCTGGTTTGGTAGGAACCAGGTACTCCCATCAGGCTTCCTTTCTCCAGAGAAATTGTTAACCATTTCCTTGACTTGAGCTAACAGTTGCTTGAACCAAAATCCATTTGAAATTAGACTCAAGCCTTTTTCGCCTGTGCCCCAGTCTAGGAGGAAAGGCTTTTGAAAAAATGCTATAAAGCCACCTGCTATCAACCTAATTTTGTCCTAAACTGGGGGAGGGAGAGGCTTGTTTATTTACAATGTCTAACTCTTAGCTCAGGCAGGGCTGCCTTGGCTCAACTTCCCTCATGCCCGCAAGCAAGCGTAAGACCTGCTGGTAAAAATTTCTAATTCAGAACCCTGACGTGCCCTGAGAGCGTCTCTCCCACCAGTGCCTAGTCCTGGGGGGCTCGAGGTTGTAAGCGTTCCAGCCTTAAGGCCGGTCACCTTCTCCAGGGCAGGTCCTCTTCTTCCAGGTCGCTCTCGGTCACCGACCCCTCTATCACGGTTTCATCACTGTCCCAGTCTGAGGCCTGAGTGCCTTCCTCCATCTCTGCCTCGCACTCCTAAGTCTTTTTCCTCTTACTTTTCTAGCTCCCCACTTCAAAAAAAAAAAAAAAAGCTGCGAGAGCCTGTGGAATTGTGAGTTAACAAAAATTAAAAGAATAATTAAAAAAAAAAATACTCGTGGCGAGAACCGAGCCTCGAAGTACGGGCCGAAAGCGTTGAAAAGCCTGCTAGGTCGTCGCAGTCAGACAGGCCACCCTGGTGGGTAGACTCGCCGCCCGCCGCCGGGAGGGGGCAGCCCCGTGCCGTCCCAGTGAACCGCGCGCGGCGAGATTCCCGGCTCTACACAGCCGCGGCCGGAAGTAGTAGGCGGGCCGGGTCCGCCCGCGGGTCAGCCAACCACGGGTTCCCCTTCAGGCTCGGGCTAGGTTACCTACCGCGGTTCGCCTTGCGTTCTCCTGGTCCTTCCGAGGGAACCGAAACTATGGTCGCAGTCACCAAAAAGGCAGCTGTGTGGCAGAAAGACCGCCTGCTGAGTCTTCCTAACGCCTTAGGCAGCGAGGGAGACTTACCAGGTCTCAAGCAACTTTCAGGTCTGGTCCATGTGAGACCTTGGGCCTTCAGAGTAGTGCCAGCTCTGCCCAACCCTAAATTGGCGATTTCAGCCCGACATTCTGAATTTATGAGCCATTTGTTACTTTAGACCCGAAAACTACTTTGGAGTGCACGTTTTCGCCAAGTCTCTGACGCGTCTCCCCAAATGCCTCCTGAGGTGGGCAAAACGGATAAGGTCATCAGCACCTTTTAGATCAGGAATTTACATATTGAGGGCCAAATGAGGACCTTTAGGACAAAAGGATGCCTCTTCTGTATATCAGTGTTTTGGATTCAGCTTGTAATCTATACCTTGCACATTGTTGTTGATGCTAAGTATCATTCACTTGGTTCCGATTCATAGACATTCTGTGTACAACAGAACAAACACTGCCTTGTCCTGTGCTTTCCTCACAATTGTTGCTGTGCTTGAGCCCATTGTTGCAGCCACTGTGTCAATCCATCTCATTCAGGTTCTTGTCCTTTTTCTGCTCACCCTTTACAAAGCATGGTGTTTTTCACCAGGGACTGGTCCTCATAATAACACCTCCAAAGTACCTGAAAGGAAATCTTGCCATCCTTGCTTCTAAAAATTGTGGCTGTACTTCTTCCAAGGCATATTTGTTCATTATTCTGGCAGTCCACGGCTGTGGTAGTTAAGGTTATGTGTCGTCTTGGCTGGGCTGAGTTTTGAGTGGCTGGGCAGCTGGATGTAGTTACCACCCCCCACCCACCCCCCGTGAGGAGACTGGTAATGTACTCAATGGTGGAATCCACTGTGAGTGGCTGAGTAGCTGCCTTAGGGATGTGGTCTGCTTCCAGTATGTAAGAAGCAGCTTTGAGGAAGGTCTCCAGCTTTTGGCACCTCTGGATCCTGTGTTTGGCCGAGTCATCAGTGGTCTGCTATATTATCTACCAATTTTGGGACTGTTTAACTAGGGGCTTGCCATATTGCTTGATAATCTTGGGACTGTACCATTTTGCTTGTCGACCTTGAGTTTGTCAGCCTCAGCAGCCAGCAGCTGCCTGAGTTAAGAAAAGCCTCTAGCTTCAGGGGTCCAGGAACAGGAGGCAAAGC